AAGTTGCAAAATATAGCACTAAAGTCTCTAAATTGGCAACATTGTTACCCACACATGTGCAGCAGTGTTAAATATTGACCGATCTCCCAAAATTAAGAAAATCAACAGATTTATCGGCCAGCCAATGTATGGGGATGCCCTTGGTTACGGGGGAACTCACCTGGCTTACAAGTCTCATAGACCTTCTTCAGCAGCGCCAGGCACTTCTCTTCAGGCCAGTCATGAATGACTCTGGCCAACACATACAAGTCTGCACCAGGAATTTCATCGCTGAAGAAATCTCCTGCATGCAGAGAAGGGAACAAATCAAAGCAGATTATTAGTTCTGCTTTTCTCTTTTCTTCCTTCTTTACTTTAGTATGTCTTGTACAGTTACACAAAATGTATTTTGTCACCAAATATTTCTGACTGGACATACTATAAAAACCATCCAGAACATGTTAACATTGTAACACATTGTATGTGTTGCATATTTTTTTCACATATTTTCTGCTAGTTTGTGTCACTTAGGTGTTTTTTCCAGCCTTAAGAAAAAAAGAGAAANAGAAGGGAAGAAGATGGAGACCACATCTTCTAGAATAGCTTCCCCAGGTAAGAGTAATAAGTTGAGTTTCTGTAATACAATTATTAAGGTTTATTTAGTCTTGAGTTAAAAACTGTGACGGTTTTCTTGTGCTGTGACACAGCAGTACAGTAAAGCATATATTTGCCATTAAAATAAGCACAAGTTAGCTAGCTAGCTAAGTTTTGTTTAGCTTAGGATGGAAAATCCATTCTAGCTAGCTAGATAACTTTCAGCTAGCTAGCAAGGGTGGATCTAGGATTTTCTAAACTGGTTTTTGGATTAGTGTGGGGTTCACTTTAGCTGTCTTTCTCAATTTCAAAATCCATTTTATAAAGTACTATTTTAAATATTATTTAGCTTCCAAGATGTTTTTGTCTACCACACATTCATATTCATGTCTCAGGAAACTTTTATTTAAAAGTATTGCTTATGTTGAGATATTATATGCTATGTTAAAAAATATATATATGTATATAGTAGATAAAAAAATAAAAATAAAATTGAACACTTCAACCCAGAGAGTGTTAAAGGGTCAATAATGATCAATAATCTGCTTTACCTGATTGAAATGTAACGCCACTGTCCTCCTGTTTGAAATGTTTCTGAGCCGCTTCCACCACCTGCGGCAGGTCAAACACGGTGACGGACGAGGCGGGATACGCTCTCGCCATTTCATTGGCCAGAGCACCAGTGCAACCTGGGAGTTTTTGAAGACACAGCACAGATTTTTACAGCCACCTACAATGCAGCAGGCGGTGAGAGTGGACGGCTGTGGGTCCTCACCTCCCAGATCAACGACCTTCTGGAAGCGAGAGAGGTCGAACGCCGTCACAACGTCGTGTCCGTCCAGAACCCAGTGACAGCTCATGATCCCCATGAATTTCAGCATCTCCTCCTCAGACCTGGGAGGGAGTCATTCTATAGTTACCAACAAACTGGTAACTGGTAAACCAGTGAAGCATTTTAAGCAATCAGATGAGCACCAACCTGTAAATAGCTTGGAAAAAGTGGCCAGATGGAAGACCGAAGGTCTTTTCGTACTGGTTCCTCCCCTCCCTGCAGAACATGAAGCTTGAATGTGTTTCATTCTCCCTGGCTCACAAAAGTATTCACACCCCATGAACTTTTTCACATTTTGTCACTCCACAACCACATGCTTTAATTTAAACCAAATTCTTCCCAAAATAAAGGTTTGGAACCCAGTGGGGGTCAGGAGTCAACAAGTGTGGGCTCTATTCAATTTGCTTTTTGCAACTAAGTAAAATGTATTGTCAAGTAGATTTAGCACTAAACATTGGATACAAATGTATAAAATAGATTAGCTGTTAAGGAGGTTATTGTATACATGAGTGTTTTTGGTTTTTGATTCTGTTTTATCATGTTATCCATGAAATTAGTTGCCCTAGATTTCTGTTTTATTAAATAACCAATTTGTCCTGATAACAAATTTTACTAGACGATATATTTTCCTTTCAATTATTACGATAAGCAATAATATTGTTAATTTGAGACCACTTTCAAGTAATATTTTGATAATGCCATAGTATTGTAATGTCATCCTTTCAAAGAGCAAAAAATTAAAGTTTTGTAATAATTAAAAAAAAAACAAACACCACTTAGCACTGGAGCTGGAAGATATTTTAAACACCCAAAATAACGAACAAAAGCAAAAAAAAAAAAAAAAAAAAGAAAATCAATAAATAAAATAAATATAAAACACACACAAACAAATCTATAATTACAATGGATTATGATGTCTCTGTAAAGAAAATGATCGAGCTCATTTTAATGTATCATGCGCAACACTTTTCAGATTTTTATTTGTAGATTTCCTTTCATTTCATTTATCTAACATCCCAATAAAACAGAATAAAGTTTGTGGCTGAGCCAAGACAAAATGCATGAAACTGCATGTGACAGGAATGCTTTTGCCTGGTTTTCCCTTCTCCTGCTCTCACAGATGCTTATGTGACGCAGCAGCGGCCCACTGACCTGATGGCGTCCACCAGGTTGTTCCACAGCGGGTAGACGGTCTGGGAGCGGTAGATGATCATGTCGTGAAGAGATTTGGCGCTGCCTTTGGCCAGGTAAAGGTTAGCTACGTCTGTGCTGCTGTACAGAGCTGGGTTAACACACAAAGTCACACGGAAAGTTCCAGACCTGCTGCTGAACAGAACCGAACTCAGACGGAGAGTCAAGCTAAAGCTCAGCATGTTTACAGCAGGCTAAAATTTTGTTTTTCACTTTGAGAATGAAACCATAATATTAGAAGAAATAAGAAACATAGTATTAACCAGAATAAAGTTATAATAAAATGAAAATGAGGACATAATATTACCAGAATAAAGTTATAATATTACTTATTATAATAAAAAAAATATGTCATGTTTTAAATATCGGCATCAAATTATTATCAGTGACTTTGAAACGATTACGCAAATGACTGTCTATTTTAAATATAATAATAGTGACATTAAAATTAAGTTGTCGGTTATTGGAGGTCTTCCCGTTCCTCACCCGTCCCTTGGGCCGTCTCCACCTCCAGGATCTCGATGCCCACCAGGGCGTCCAGCAGCCGCTCCATCCCGTCCATGCTGGTGCCCAGTTCCTGCGCCACGTGTTGAGCACTCAGGGCGTCCTGGGACTTCAGCAGGAGGTCGAAGACGCCGAGCTCACAGGCTGAGAATATCATCTGAGTCACAGACGTAGAGTTCACATCACCTTTTTGTTGCTTCATGTTCAGGAATACAACCAAGTATTTACCTTTCCTCTCAGCCAGTTACGGTTACCGAAAACACTCCATACCGAAAAAGTGATGAGGGTTTTATTGTTAGATGGATGTTTATTTATAGCATCCTTCAGATTCAGTCTTTGTTCATGTTTTTTTAAACAGTAGTTTCCAGACCTGGTGGAACTGAGTCACACAGCAAAGTAGATCAAAAATATCAGATAAAAAAAAATAAATAAATCATCCAATAAAAGTAAAACTCCTAGGCAGTGCCACAGATGAGAAACTATGGTTTAAACAAATCAGCAATATCATTACTGAAATGGGTAGAGGGAAAAATAACCGATGACTTTCCATTAAAGATGGATTAAAAATACTCACTACTTGTGTTTTTCAGAAATATTGTTCATAAAAGAATATCTGCGATATTATTTCTAAATATAAATCAGAGTTTCTGTTTGTGTGTTATCAGCCTGGAGGGTAACCAGGCTTTACTTCCCCCCACACCCCACCAGGCTAAGTGTTGTTTGTTTATTTTAAATAGAGGGTTTTTTTATACATCAATAACAGTGACAGTAAGGACAAATTAAGCTAGGTTTGTAGCTGAAGCAGTGAACTGGGTGCTCAGGGTGGGGGGTGCATCAATTGTGCCGTCCCTGCGCCTGCCTGTTAGCCTCACATGCTGTCATTTCTACATAATATTTCCTCCAAATTATTGTCACTTTTTACATTTTTTCACAGCAGCCCACCACAAAAACATGGTGGGCTGCTGGTGGACTGCCCAACAGCGCCCCCTACCACTAGGCGTAGCAAGTTTTCTGGGGGAAACCCTGTATTGTTTAGCCGAAAGACACATTTACATTTGACAAAGCATGCTACAAAAATGGGATGCATTTTGCCAAAAAGTTAGAACTCGCACAAAAAAGAACTGTTCCATGGTGCGCAACTCTGGAATTTAAAGCCAACTGGTGTTATATTTAACTATAGTAACGATGTGAAACTACAGATAAAACAATGACTTTAGTAAGCTGTAAACAATGCAAGTTCCTGGTTGTGAACTGATTAAATGACACTATAGTTTAGCCTAAAATTACATATATTCTGCCATGTTGTCATTTTTTTATTGTTGCCATTTTTTTTCCCTGTTGAACTTCTAAAAACTGTGTAAGAACAGCGGCAGCATTCCTGCAGCTAAATCCTAAACGGACCCTAAATAAACTAAACTAAACGCACCTTTTTAGCTCTAACCACAAGTCTTCTATTAGACTGAGGTCAAACGATTGAGCTGGACACTACAACCCGTTGACTTTGTTGACCTTAAGTCTGTTTATAACTAATCTGGTAGTGGTTAGGGTCATTGATCAGTCAGTAGACTCAATTGCGCACAAACTTTAACATCCTGTCCAGAGGAAGTTACAGCATCCCTCCAAAAAGGATGCAGCTCCCCCCCCCCCCTCCAGCCCAGATGCTGCCCTGGGCAGTTGCCCATGTTGCCTGTATCAGAAACTGCCACTGATCCTGGCTAATGTTTCCCTTTTTTTCTCTCCAATGTTTTTTTTTTAATTTTTTTAAGTTTTTATGATTTCTTCCTCACTGAATGGCTGTTTAGTCCAATCTTACAGAATGTTTCTCTGAAGATGCTGGAACCTTTACCAGCCTCAGGTGGCATATGCATGATCTATTTTAATTTAACTTTAAGGTTCTTTATGTTAATATTTGCCCAGTGGAATAAAAACGTAAAATATCATGCATTGTAAATAAAGTGTCTGAAAATGTCTGAGTGCTCTGATTGCAGCACATCGAACGGTGACGTGTTTACCCATCACGCTGTGATTTTACCTTTGACACCCTGAAGCCGTTGAAATACTCCAGAAGTTTGAATGGGTAGTCCAGTTCACTTTGAGAGAGATGTTCTGCCATTGCTGCCCTAATGAAGGAGAGACACACAAAGACTGTCTGTCTATCCCGGGGGAAGCAAGAGAAACAAAAAACAAAACACACACACACACACACACATATATGCACAAAACAAACCACACTAATCATTATTATTTATAACTTACCAAAAAAAAATTTCCCAAGCTGACGTTATTTTGAGGGGAAAATTGTAGCCGCTGTTGTCATAGAATAATAATCAAGTCCCGTAGTTTGGCTGAAAACGGGCAAGATGTCGGAGCTGGTGCAGCAGCCGGGAGGAAACAGGTGGCGAGTAAATAATTAGAGATGGAGGAGAGTCATTCCTGCTCCGGAGCCTGCTGAAAGTTACCCAGAAAGCCGCGTTGGCTTTATAAAGCGGTGATGGTCGACGTGCTTTGGTTAGAAGTCGAACACGGACTCCCATAGTCAGTGCAGTGCCGGGTTTAACCGGAGCAGAGGGGAGGGCGCTGTGGAGCTGTGGTTGGTGATTAAGCTATGACCTCTCAGAACTACTTTTTTTGTTGAGAAAGGACGAATCAGTGTATGGAATCCCCAAAGAGCCAAATAATTAAAAAAATAACCATATTTACACACAAATAAATTCAAATTTAAACTGCAAACAGATACAAATATTGAATATTCACAATTTTTAGAAATATACCATCTACCCTGACAAAAAATAAAAATGTTGCTGATGCTTTTAAAAAGTCAGAAACAATTTTTGGAAACACCTAGTAATTTTCTCTTTTTTTCCAGTATGATAATAAATATAGTCTTTTTCTACAGTCTTTTTTTCTAATTAAAAAAAACATTGACAATAGAAGTGTGAATATTTAATATTTTCCTTAAACTTTGAGTATTATACTTACACTCATTATTATCATTTCTTTAGTTACAAATTCAATCTATTTGGTTTCACAATCCTCCTCTACGAGTTGTAGGATTAGGTGAAAGCTTAGAAAGATTCTGTCGTTGAGACTATTCAGAATTTGGCTCAACTTGTGCAGGAAAATCATCTTTTGCTTCTGGCTCTGTTGAAAGTACCATGGCAACCAGATGGCGACGATTTTGCCTAAAAGACCCACGATGTGGTTGGAGTAGAATGATGGATAATCGGCGCTCCACTCGCTCCTGTTGTCTGCGGAGAACTCTTGGTCTGTAGAGCAAGCCAAACATCTCTGCATCTTTTATCTTTATCTCCTTTTGTTTTTGAGCAATAATTTTACTGTTAGGAACAGAGCTGTTAGACAGTGTAAAAAAACATATGTAATCTGTATGACATTGGCAAATATCGGTTATCTGTCCAAATTTTCATATTGGTGCATTCCTAATAGGTTGTAAAACCGTTGTTGAGAAGCAGCCCAATGCAATAGCTAAATAACTAATATAACTTTCCAATTAATATTAAGTGTTTAATGATGGATAACTGAGACTAAAACAAATAGACTTACATATATTTCCAATTTGTGAAACATTCAGAATAGGAGACCAAGCAACACGTCTTCCAGTTAATGGCTGTTTATTGTGGCGCAAGTTACTTCACATAACAGGATCATAACTATCATGATCTGGCTTTCCTATGTTGTAGTTTAGTTTTTGAAGAATTTAAATCCTTATAGATGTAATTTTTTCTGCTGAAAACCAAATTTGCCATCCTAAGCAGCCAAACGGAAACAGAAGTTAGCGTCTTATGTTACTAATTAATAGCAAGGCTATCTTGAAGGTGCTCAAGTGTAAAGAAAGGACAGACACCTTGACTTGAAATGCTGGCTACCTTAAACATCATATGCCGATGTTTACTAATGTTCAACACTCTGCAGGTTAGTTTCTCCAACAATCTAATTGGCAACAATAGAACAGAATATGGCCATAATAAGAATCGTCAATATTTTTGCAGGCAGCCACTGTGATATGTGACAGAAATTATTAAAAAGTTAGAACTGGTAATATCCTGATAGTCTTTGTCATATTATTTACATGCTGCTGATATTATTTACACATTAAAATACTTTGATCATCACTTCATAGTTTCTACACTCAAATGTGGAGAATACAACTTAATCTACATGCCCCACTTTATCTGAGCAGAACTTCATAAAAGTTTGTTTTTTTAGTAGCGTATGAATTGTAATGTTACCCAGCTCATTTGGCTTTATTTGTGTATTTAAATTAAATGTTTACTAGACAAATGAACTTGTCTCCTGTATTTGCAATAAAAAAAGACAAGTCAAATAGAAAATATCAGGTGTCATTAACCTATACCCAGTATAACAACTGTCTTGATATACTACTTTTGTTATTAGAAACGTATGAATTTAGTTTCTTTCCTAATTTAATCTAAGAGCTACATTTTAAGCATGTCGCTCTAGACAAGAAGCCATTTTTTTTTTAGCAATTTTAACAATAATGGCTTGTGGGTACAAGAAAACCTCAAATTCTGTGTGTCAGTGAACTAAAATATCACATTAGACCAGGTGCTGGTGTACCTTTTCCAATCACACATCTTCTTTCCACTCAATTTTCTGTTAATATGCTTGGATGCAGAACTCTGTGAACCAGCTTCTTCAGCAATGACCTTTTGCAGCTCTCCCTCCTTGTGAAGGGTGTCAATGAAATCCATCCAATCTGCAGTCTTCCTCTTGATCATGTAGCCGACTGACCCATAGTGAGAGACCGTTTAAAGGGTCAGGAAACCTTTGCAGGTTTTGAGTTAAGTTTCTAATTATTATTTCTAATTACACACTGTGACTTTCCATTGATGATTTCTGTATTCTAATTTTTTGACTCTGAATTTAGGGCTTTCATTATCTGTAAGCCATGATCATCAAAATAAGGAATTAAACTCTGTGATGCTTTCTAAGATGACTGGCAAGAAATATTGCACTTTTACAAATATAATTTTTTTTCAGATATACTAATACATACTGATGCAACGTGCTTTTTTTTTATTTCTTTTGGAACCTCTCAGTTGAGCCTCAGACATGATGAATATTTTTTTCATTATTAGTCTTTCTGCCTGAATTATCAGCAACCTGTCCAGCTCTACCACCCACTGGTTTACTGGAAATGAGGTCAAAGGTTCATCAGTGCTTCAGTGATTGTTTAATCAGCTTTTTTTATTTTAGGGTAAAAAATAATCACATTTATTAAATATTTTTTCACATAAAGTTTTTTTTTGCTGGGAATGCTTTGTCTGATCCAGCCCCACCAGTGACTCCCAACTCTTTAAAAAAAAATAAAAATCATTTTTATGGCACTAGTAGCCTTCATTCAACAGTAGCTTGAAAGACAGAAGGGTAGTAAGAGAAAAAAGACATGCAGAATGTATTTATTTAGATCTGTTTTTTCTTGTCATTCTATTGAAAACTAGTGGATTTTTTTCCCTTCGCTATATTCTGTGCATGCATCTTCAAATTCTTCCCATAGAATAAAATATTTTCGTCCTCTTTTTGCAAAGGTTTTTACCTTTTTCTTTATTTTAAAACCTAAAAATAGAAATTAAAGAGTTTTACTTTAAAGAGAACATTAACTGGAGCCCTGCCCCTAATCATTCTTCAAATTATTGAACAAGTAATTCATTATTTACCTGAATATTGTCATTTTAACCAAGGTAATTTAAACCATCTCTATTTCCCTTTCTGTTTTTATTTCAAATTTATCTTTTAAAATTTCTCCTAAAACATGATATCATCTACAAAGTTTAAAAAGTTTATCTACTGAGTGTACACCAGATGGTACGGCTACTAAAATATTTTCATCCCTAAAAGGGTTTCTGTAGGTGGTTTAAAATTAATTTAAGCCATTATAAATCAAATTTCAGACCTGCATCATGCAGAAAAGTACAAAAGAAAAGGCTATATTTTATAAAATAGCAATGCCAGGTGTTTTGCCACAGAATGAAAGTAGCATCATATGGGTAGGCAGCAGAAATGAACAAATAGCAACGTTGTCCAGACAACTGGTGATAAAAATATTTACCCACGATAGATGCAAAAAAGCTAGCTAGCTAGCAAAGGAGCTAGTTAGCACCTTGAGTCACATAACGCAATGAAGATGCACACGACCCAAACCTTCACCTGACAGAAATGCCCCGCGAGAAAAATTAACTACATAGAATATTCGACACAAAATAGTCCTGTCACCATAAAAGTTAAGACACGTGAGGCTGTGATTAACGCATTTAAGGCTAACTTACTTTTTTTTTTCTTTCCCCTATTGAATTTAAAACCTTTTAAGGACGCGGACACATCCTCCCCAAGTAACCCTCTTACAAAGCAAATAAGGAGCAAAAATTTTCCATTATTAACCAAATTGATTTATTATGCATGAACAAATCGCTTCCTGCTTCTTTCACACGAACACAAACACACACACACACACTCGCACACGCGCCTGACATTTAAATACATGTGGTGAAACCTCGGCATAGCTGACTTTGATGTTGCACATGCTTTTAATAAACGATACGATATATTTACAGGATAAGCAATGTCTACGAACAAAACTCGCAAGAACAGCTCCCGGTCCAATCCTGCAGCATTTTTGCAACACCTTTAGAATCACTTGATTTATTTTTGGAAAAAAATTCACCCACATTCAAAATGAACTACAGAAAAAAAAAAAAAGTAAATGGGGGGTTTTTGGCCAATACGACATAGCATTATATGTATATGGAGTTCATCCACTACATAAATATGGCAGTAACACTGAGTAATTTATTGGGTCTATGTACAAAGTTTGAGAAGTGGGGAAATATTACAGTCTCTGCACGGACGACTGACGCAACAAATGCCTTTAATGTCTGAGGGGGGGTTGGACTGAGTCTAAGGGGAAAAAAAACGGACACTTCCATCCTTCCGCTTACCTTCTTAGACCCGTCGGCGCTGACGCAACAAACAAAATAAGGCACGATTAATACTTGGACCATTTTCAGGGGAAATCTACAGACTTGCAGCTGGCTTGTGAGGCATGTAAACAATTTGTCAATTGATTAGGACTGCCTTATCACCTTCCCTTTAGCCCCCCTCCCAAATCAGTGATTTAGTCCATCTGATGAGATTTAAAACAAGCTTCGTGTAGCGAAGACCTTTGACCCCCGCCCCTGCAATGAAATATGAAAAGAAAAACAAAACAATAATGCTGCTGGAACACTGTCCCCTCTATATGCTACTTAACAAATACAATCACATGGTGACAAACGAAGAAAACTAGTAGTGAATACACTACAAACACAACAGATAAACGCAAAGCCTGCCAGACTGCTCTTGGTTAGGCCACAGATCTGCCCTCTCATCCAGGCAGGAAGATGGTCTGAACAGAAATTGAGTTGTGTGATTGATTGATGAGCTTCTCTCAAAGCTGAAGCGGTTTCGTTTGCTATGTGGCTGAACCAAAGATTAAAAGATAGAGAGAGAGGCGTTTCCTCCCCCCGCCCCGCTCCACTGATTATCCCAGACCAGACAATTCCCGACTAACCTCCAAACGAGCCGGTTTCGGACTAACGTCTAACGGCCCCCCAGAGACGTCTCAGCTGTCTAATTTAAAAAAACAAAACAAAAAAAAAAAAACAACAAAAAAAAACACGAAGAATAAAGCAAAAGCTCCTCAAAGGCTTTCTGTTGGCGCTCATCTTCGTAGGATGACGCGGGTGAGAGAGAATGAGAGAGAGAAAGAGAGAGAGAGAGGAGGTCTGGTTGTCGAGACTTTACTCCTTCCCCTTCCAAAACAGCTGCAGCACCAGACGGATTCAGAGTTTCAGTACACAGACAGGGACTAGAGAGAGCAGTGACCGGTGGATGGACGGGGGCCGGGACGATGCGTAGAGGGGGTCTGGTGGTCCGGGGCGGTCAGTTACAGCTGTTTGGGGGCTTCTGGCTTTGGTACATGGGATGGGGACTGCTCAGTCGTGCTTCAGGTGGTCCTTGATGTCCTCCTCGTCCGTGTACTCCGACGGCTCCTCTCCAGGCTTCAGCAACCTCCCGACGTAGTCGTATTTTTCTGAAAGCACCAGCAGAGACGATTACCGACTGAACGCCACTGGGGCTTTTTCAAGGCAAATCTTTAGGAAGTCAAACGATTGGGTTGAATATTTTCAACCAAAGGAGCCAAGTTTAGAGTTTTCACTTCTTCCTAAATAAATAAAAGCTTGCTTGACTCTCAACAGGATGTCGAAGCAGCAACTTAAAAAGTTCAAACGTCTACCTGCATTAAACATTATTCTGTGATGACACCAACCTGTAGCTGCTTGAGTCAGTTTTAAACTGTAACCACACACCTGTCATTTAAACACACACCAACCTCACATTACTACTAAAGGCTTCAGTCTAAAATTAGCCACTAATACATCAAATTCAAAATTGAGGAAATGTGAGAATCCAGGTCTCTAGTGGTTAAACGTAGATTTCAGTGAACTGTAGTCTGTGGCTCATGACTGATGGACATTAGGGCTATTGTACATAAAAAAAAGAACTGTCTTTATTTTAAGTACTTAGTAAGTAAATTTCTAGAAAAACTTGAAAATTTGCTTGGAAAAATTAAGAAATGTAAATTTCAAGATTTACCTCAATAGTTTCAAAAAACAAAACACTAACATTTTACAGAAAAACATTTCTCAGTTTGAAAAGTCAAACAGTTTAGACTTTTGGAAATTTTCTGTGTTTCAAAAGTTTTACATTTTCCACTTGTCAAACTCTGAACATATCTGAATTTTGAACTTTTTCAAACTCAGAAATTTGCATTTTTTTTCCAGCAAATTTTTTTGGNCAGAAATGTACCTTATTTTTTCTATCCGCAACAGATAGAAAATGTATTATTTATTACAATAAATAAGTGACACACAAAACGGAAATAAAGGTTTCCGTTTCAAACCCTTTCAGGCTTATGCAGTGGAAATCAGGAGACGTTTGGACTCTGAACAAAATGGACGTTGTTGAGAAGGAGATATTTCTACCCATTGCTCGGGTCACCAATCCAATACTTCCTCAACGTCCACGTGAACGTACCCCGGAACTGCATCTCCCACTCCCTCACGCTCTCCATCTGTACGGCGGTGAGGTCTGACAGGTCGTCGTACTCATCCCTCAGGGCCTCCTTCTCTGAGCAGAAGGTGGCCAGGCCCCTCGAAGCGTCTCGGCCGGCGAAGATACCATAAGGGCCGTCTGCAGGAACCGAAACACAACGGCCACTGTGAAGAACACTGCATGCTTATTATTTAATAAGTTAAAATGGACAATTTCAGGAAGATTATGCCCTCTAATATCCTAAGTATAACTGAGCTGTCAGAGCTAATGCTGCTGCCCAAAAAAAGAAAAGCATGATAAGTTACAATGAGCTCGATTTCCATTCTGATGATTGATATTTTTTGAAGGGCAATTTTGCTCACAAAGACTAATATATTTTATTCATGGTTTTGTTTCCAAGTAGATTTTGTTTCTTTTTTGTCGAGTTTTATTTTGGATATTTATCTTCCAGTCCCAGAGTGCAGTGTTCTTTACAAAATTAACATTTATCAGTCTTTGAGAAGTCAGACTCGCATTATTATGGCGTTATTGATATATTACTTGAAAATGGCCTCAAAACAACATTACCATATATTGCAATAATTACCAATTTATTATTGTAACAGACCTAATCACAGATTTTGCAAAAAAAAAAAAAAAGAAAGGGAAAAAAAAACATTTTCCACTAAAATCTTACCTATGTTGCTACAACAGACTTAATTTTATTATACCACATGTAGTTTAATTTCTTATGAAATCACTCGTATCTATTCAATAATAGTTTTTCAAAGCAGAGTTTGTGAATTTTGCTGTATTAATTTAATTTGTAAATATCTGTTGCATTTTTAATGATCACTTTGTCATTTTATTTAGACCCAGTTAAACATTAATAGATTCAATTAAAGTTAAATTTAAAGCTGTCTAGAAAACAAACACAGGAGGAAATAACCCTGGTGTGTTAAACACTCGTTCACTACCCTCACCCGTGTGGGTGTGTATGTGCTGCATTTCATACACCTGTTTCTTGCTTAAAGCTGTTTGTGTGGTGTGGAAACTAAAGGAGTAAAAACCACAAAGTGACACTCAACAGTTTTCAGTGCTCTTCAGTGTTGAATAGCACTGAAAACTGTTCACCTTTTCAGATGCCAAAAGGAGAAGTTAACTTAGAAAAAGAGGCAGAACCATGACTGAACAATTCAGCCATTAATTCAAAATAAACGTGTGTGTGATCTTTATAAATTTCTGGTCATATTATCATATCTGTCTCTTTAAGAAACTCTTGCTCTTTCTGAAAATCCACCTTCAAAAAGTCATCACAACATGGCTCCTCTATTAACCCTTTAACAATGTTTCTACCAGGGTTGCACTGAGAAGTAGTTCATATAATGAGCTCAACAGATGTGTAGGTCCACCAGGTGTTTGCTAATTGCTGCTGGCTAGTCTGAAGGAACTGAGAGGGGGAGGGCTGCTCTGTGAGGCTGAAACTCTGAAGCGTGGGAACTGCAGCTCTGAGGAGGAGCTGTGTCTTTAAGGTGGAGCTAGGTCCAACCAGGTGTTTTGCACAGCTGAATGGTCGCCATGGAAATTAAAGGATTTCTCAAACATAAATGAAAGAATCAAAGCAACACTCCAGGTATGTTTTTGATTAAGAAATGACATTATAACATAATGTAAAGCTAAAAAAATTCAACTTTACACAATATTTTAAAACAGCTGTATGGCCATAGAGCAGCAGGCTAACAACGAGCTAATATTACCACTTCTTACTCCCATTATTCTATAAAAATCAAATTGAGGGGTGGATGAAATGTATACTAATAAAAACAATGTAATAAGAATATTCACTTAGAAACTTCCACTAAAGTGAATGCTTATTGCAGAACTGTTAAATATGTCAGAATATGACAAGTATGTCAAATTCTGACATAAACATACAGTATCTGCCCTGTGGTGTTTTAGCCCATGTTATACACTGATAATCAAGAAAATGCAAAACCTTCATAAAAGAACATCACTTTAAAAAAAAAAATCCGATGCACACCTTTGAGGGTTAATCCTGTCAGTGCTACAGAGAACTCTGTGAATATACATCATAGTTTTTTTTTTTTTTCCTCATACTGCAATGACTAGCGAGAAGAATTTGAGGTCAACTTTAAATTTCTGACTGTTTCAAAGCTGCAGGGCAAGTCTCCAACCAGTCCTGCACCCACCGCAGCCAGATGGGTGGAGGTGGGAGTGGCTCACCACACCCCGAAAAGCCCATCTGTAAACACAGCTCTGAAAGGAGAGCTGTGATAAAGACGCACAAGCTGCAACAACAAACATTCAAACCAGGACTTTTGTATGCAAGTAAACTGAGAAATCTTGCCATTTGAAAAGTAGCAAATACATATTGCTTGTGATTAGATGTTTTTCTTGCAAGTCATTGCTGAAACTTTTATCATCTTCCACAAACATCACCTGACTGTCACAGGGAGACGCTCCGGCCCTTTAAGTTTTTCTGTGCTTTAGTTATTCAGGTCTGCTGGACTAACAAGCAAACTAACATAAGAAACTGCTAGAATCGTATCTGGACGGTTCAATACAGACCCAACAAGATGACAATGTACTCGGTATTCATTTTGCCACTTGCCTAAACGGATATGCTACTGAATTTAAAGACTTTGTACTATGATTGATCTGATGTAGATCAAAATCTAAATCACATTGAATGGTTAAACTTGAACTAGATTACTGTAAACTCATCAAATTCAGCCCTGTTTCCACAAACTGAATAAAGCTTTCAGAAATCAAAAAGTCCATTTTACAGTCTGTCACTACTGTAGAATAATTATGTCCAGCTTTGACTTGTATTAGTTTTCAAACTAAACTTTGTTTAAGGTTATTTCAACACACTTCAACCCTTTTCTTTCACTCTTTTGAGTTTTCACAACAGGAAAAAATAAAAACAAATCAAAAACTGTTTTCTATGGCCTGTCATTCTTGGAAGTTTTGATTCAAAAATCAAAACTTGTCTCTCGTTTCATATGGAATGAATATGAAGATTTCGGAGCAGCCTACAGGTAAATTGAGATTCTAAACTTGCAAATCAGGACTACTACTTCAGAGTAATCTGAACTGATGTGTAGCACAACAAACTGGCCTCTTTAGCATTAACAACCAACCAAATCACATTTTTACTTCACTTTGTACAGAGGAGCTAAATTCAACCTTTCCTATATAAATCTACCCCTCATCCGGTCTGATAAACATTAATGTTCAATATGTATAGTTTTAGTCACTATACCAAGCGGGGAGACTGACTACACAGCCTAGCTGCACCGTATCTACAAGCATGTCAACAGGCTAGCTGGCTAACATTAGCATAATAAATTATTACTACTAACATTCAGGTCCTAACATATAACTGCCACTGTAAAATGTCACAGCTTAACTGACAGTACATGCAAACTTGGGGGGAGTTGTTATTGTTACAAGTCACGAACTCAAAAGCTACGCTACCAAGCTAACGGCTATGATCCCATTCAAAACACACAAAGCCAAGGAGCTAAGCTAGAGCGGTTTGCGCCCAATTTTTGGTCCAGAAAGCCTCACTACAGGCGGCAACGTGTCAACCAATTCCGCTGTTTTAGAGCCAATGTCCGCAAGCCCTTCACCTTTTCCGTAAAACTTTCTGCCGCTGGTCACGTCAAAAACTTTCATGTTCACGGCCATGAGGATGCGGGGGTTCTGGACACCGTCGTACTCCTGCAGCTGCTCCAAAGTGAAGTCCCGTCTCCTCATCTTGGTAAGCATCGGGGCCTCGCCGTCCTCGGCCCCGTCGGATACGAGCCGTCTGCCCCACCGCCGGTACACTACTACACAAACCGCCACTACCAGTACCAAAATGCTGATATTCAGCAACATTCCGCCCAAGCCGAGCGTGTCTAACCAGTCCGCCGCCCCTTGCCCGCCGTTTGTGCCAACTAGTCCGCTCCAACTGAATCCATCGTCCGCCATGCTGCCCAGTTTGCGCCTACCCGCCCCTGGCAAGATTAGGCGTTCAGGTGCCGTCGGGAATTCCAGAACCACTAGTTGAGCAAGTGTTCAGTGTCGAAAATTGATGACTCGGGACAAGAGACCATCAGTGACAGTTAAGCCCGCGGTATTCTGCTAGACAGAAACGGCGGGAATCTTCTCCTAGAAACATAGCATAAGGAAATAAACTATGCGAATGGCGACACCAAACAAAAAGAACGAGTTGACATTGAAGGGGACAGAGTGGTAACAGAAATTCTAAAATTTTAGCTCAAATTGGCATGAATTTCGAATAATGTAAGCAATAATAATCAAACGAAACAAAAACATGCCAACTAAAACATATAAGATTTGAAAGTATACAGCGGACCATTCCATACAAATGAAAATAACAATGAGAACGGTGAATTAGTGACGAATTTGCCTAAGAAAGTAGAGAGACTTTTTTTTCTAATTGAACGTTGTAGCCCAATTTTACAGTTGAACCTATTTTTACCTGCATGTTTCTTCTGACTGAAAACAACATTACTGTTTTGGAATGTCCCAGCTAGAGTCCAGATTAGATTCTGATAGAGGTTTTTCAATCTCAAAAGACTTGAAGATCATCAGAAATATTCTCAAAAATACAAGTGAAAACATGCTCATAGCTTGCCAGTGATGGCATAAACAAATCCTTATCTACAGTGAAACATGTGATACTCACGCAGTATCAAAATGTGAGGATGTGTTAATTCAGATAGAACTAGGGTTCTACATAAAATTTTGAACGGATCCATTTATCAGTGAGTTTTAAAAAAAAGACCATGAGGTGTGAATTCTGAAAATGATTTTGGTCTCACTTTCAGCATTAAGGTGAGTCAGAGCTTTTAAGCAAATTTTACAGAAAACCTAAACGACTGAGGACTTTTACAGTGTAAAGTTAGTGAACATTGCCAAGTCAAAACGTGGTGTGTGGAGGGTTTGTGAAAGGCACAAAAACTGACCTTGAACATATTTATTCACCTGCAGATGAAAACACTCTCTTATTCTGACCAAGACTGGTGAAAAATGCCCTCAGATGATATTTGACTGAACTAAATCCTCTTCTGAGTCCACCAAATGTGCGTTTGATATTCTATAAATGTACCGACTGCAGAGATGTGCTGATCTATTTTTTAAAATATTTTGTGATATCTCTGTTAAAAAACAACAATTTTCTGGCTTGGCCATGATAACATATCTATGTAAGCATTTCAAATATCTTCTCTGACTTGTTTGTGTGGGTTGAGCTCCTAAGTCAACAGGGAAAAAGTGATGAAGAGGAGATTAGAGGCAGACAGAGAAAAGATAGAGATAGATCTACCTGATGACTATCGATCCACTCTGGCTTTGCCCATGAATTTTGGATGAGAGTATGAAGACTTATCAGTACAGTCTGCCCATCACTCTGTATGCTTGGTGACATCACAAATGTTGATATGGAAATTAATAAATCCCACATGGCCTCTTGCAATTCTAAAGGATGGCGTATTAACAAAGGGAGTACATTTCTGCCAAAAATCTCAGAAATTTTCAAGAAAAAGCAAGGAAACTACTGAGCTCCAGAAGTCAAAAATTGGCTTGGGAAAAAAAAAAAAAAATCAGAATATTTTTTAATTAATCTCAGAACTTTTCTAGAATTTTTTTTAAGTTGTTGCATTTTACTACTTCTTTATATTGTTAATTATATTGGCGTGATCACCAATAATTTGAGTATTTTAGCAATAAGATACTATTTAATTCAATTGCCATCTGAATGATTAATGGAAAAAAAAAGCAATTTAGGCTCCCTTGAGAGGATAAATTCCCTTTCAGAAAGATTTGAGTTGATAAAAACTTGTTTTAGTGATTCTGCTGTTTTGAGTACACGTGTTGTCTGTAAGCTGTCCGACCGTGACATCTGCCGCACATCTTCTGTCGCTTCCTATTGTGCGGGAGGATTAAATTGTTACCGTCTCGCCATCTGATGCTGCCCACCATAGATAGGAATGCCGTCTACCAGTTAGGTTTCTAAAAATGAGCTACTGCGATTTGTCCTCGTTTACAAAAATAAATACCCTACCTGAAGACAGCACAATCATGCTAAGTTAGTTTAATAGTATGTTTTTAAAATAAATAATTAGCCCAAATATAATCATGTATTAACTGACGTGTAGTAGACCGCTATCTGGAGATCACATATTCACTGATGCAGTTAGATGTAACATCTCATTCAGTCATTTTGTTACATTTTGTTTGCAAGTAATTATTTCTCCATTTAGTTATTTGGCACATGTTCAAACATAATAGTTTGAGTGACACGTAAAAGGACAGTTTTATAAACTGAGAACCAGAAAGCTAGAAATTAATCCCCTCCACCCCCGCACTTCTCAGTAAAAAACCCCGAACTAATCCAAATGAAGAGATTTAGGCTTTTTATATATCCATTGGAAGGAAATGTGAATTTCTTTTTCATTCCAACATTGAGGTTTCTCTGTACATTTAAATGTCTAGAAGTTTCAGTAGTCTTTTCTTAAAAAAATACTTGCCTATCATCCACTTACATGGTATAACATCACACCTCGGTTCATGTGTTCATTTAAAGAATAAACAGTAAGTCCAGACAATCAGACTCAACCGACTTCACTGAGGTGTTGCTGGGAAGAAAATGTTGCAGATCAGGCTCAACGACATCGAACAGAGCAACGCAGGACAGACGACACAAAACAAGTTTGTACAATCAGACTTATTTTATATTTTTTTTGCATTTTACAAGTCAAGAACATGCAACACTTTATTCTGAAACACTCAAACACACTACTGGTAACAAATCACTTCTTCGAATCAAATGAATAATGGAATAGTAAATGATTTTTTATAGTATTTACAATTTTTTTTTGTTTAAATTCAACTCAAACCTTTTATGTCCAATGAAGTAAAGGAAAGTTAACATTTAAAGTGCTCTAGAGCACCAAGCCTCAAACATAATATGAAGTAAACTTTAAGCTAAAAATGTTGTAGTTTTATGACACTAGCTCACACCCATAATTCCAGCAGAAACATTTATTTTTATTTTTTGTATTATATTCAATGCACAAGCAAATAAAAACTGCAATGATCGCCTAAGACTATTAATTCAATCAAGTCAATGGAAAAACAAAACAAAAAACAAAACAAAAAACTAAAATAAAACAATAAATTAAGCTACCTCTGGGTGTAAAACGGGATTTAAATCTTCCCAGAAAAATAATGGGATGATTTCTGCAGCTTTTTAATTAAAAAACAAACAAACAAAAAAAACAAAACAAAACAAAACAAAACAAAAAAAAAAACCCAGTTTAGATTAGTTGTGATATGTAGCAGTCAGGCTGAGAAACATCTGTTAGCCTCAGGGTCAGTAATTCATGACTGCACCCGTCAACCTGATTGTCACCATGGAAACTGTAGACGTCGGGGCTGGTGAACTAGTAAAGTAGCGTTGCTTTTAGAGTCCTTCCAACCCTGAACAATAAGGAAGACCTTAAAAAAAAAAAAAAAAAAAAAAATCTAATACACTCTTGACATCATGATGGATCAGATTTAAGGCACACAAGACTATCCGCCGTATCTCTTATCTTGGCAACCTACAATCACAGTTGAACAGCTCTTTAAAAGATCTGAGCAGTTTACAGCGATCAACGTACTCGAAGGAGTTTGGCATCTGAGAGAAACAGGAAAAAAGGCAAAATGCGGGGAATGCATTTTTTTTTTTGTTTGTTTTGTAAACGTTATGAGCTGTCGCCGGGCAAACAAATTCAAGCTTACTGCCTACGTTTGCTTCCTTTTAAAACTGAAATGCGCCGATAAAAACAATCAAATTAAAGTTGAGCTCGCTCGTTCGCTCGGCTGCTTCACGTCCATGCGGTTCGCTGTGACCTGAGAGCGGCTGCCGCTTCTCTCCATTGGCCAGGAGCTTCATTTGTTGGGGGAAACTCCATCTTTCTTCGCCGCTTTTTTGCCGGGGTTGGACGGCGCCGTCGCTTTCTGGGTGCTGTCTTTGGCCGAGCTCTGTGTGGAGACGGAGGTCAAGGCGGCGGTCGGCTGGGGGGGCACGTTGGCGGATTTGGAGGCCTGCGCGGGTTTTGAGGTAGAGTTGGAAGGGTGTCTTCGACGCCTTCCTTCATCCCCGGCCGAGGATGACGGATATCTCCTCCTGCCGCCCTCTTCTCCAATTGGAGGCTGCAGGTGAGGATTACAGCTTAAAATCTGTGACGACTGTCTATTACTGACGGGAAATAACACTCCAATCAGAAGGAAGAGGTCTCAAACACTCACCACCACCCTGAAGTCCTCCAGGTTCCGGAACTTTGAGAGGTGCTCCTGTAGCTTCGGGTCAATGGGCTGGTTCTTTATCCTGGAATACTTCAGGAAGGCCCAGAACTTCTCCAGTCCATACAGCTGACCTACAGGGAAAAGAACATTTAGCTTTAAAGGGCCAGTGTTACGTATTTTTCAGGGACATAGTGCCATTTTAAAGCACAATCAAGAGACTATGTTAACCTGTGCTGTTATAAAAATGCTATAAGTATGATTTAGAGATTTGACTCCTTAATTTAATGCCTTGAAATTGGGCCTCTGTCTCTTTAAAAAGCTCCTGCTCTTTCTGAAACTCTGCCTTCAGGAAGTAATCACAACATGGCTCCTCTACAATGTTTAACAATGTTTTTTTTTACCAGTGTTGCATTAAGAAGAAGCTCCTATAATGAGCTCAGCAGCTCCACCAGGTGTTTGCTATTTGCTGCTGGCCAGTCTGAAGGACCTGAGTGGGAAAGAGCTGCTCTGTGAGGCGGAAGCTCGGAAGCTTTAAGGCGGCGCTAGGTCTAAGCAGGCGTTTTGCACGGCTGAATGGTTGCCATGGAGATTAAAGGATTTCTCAAACATGCATGAAAGAATCAAAGCAACACTCCAGGCATGTTTTTGATGAGGGAATAACATTATAACATGATGTAAAGATCAATAAAGTTGATTTTACATAATACCGACCTTTAAAGTTTCGGACAGTTCTGATGCACAACCGTAGCAACAAGATGTAGTTTTTAACAGAGATCACATATTAGTATATGGATCAGTCCTGATATGGAAAAAAAAATTCTAGATTGGGTATCGGTGACAATGTTCTTGATCCATAAGGGAAGATCTATTCAGTCTAATTCTATGCTTTGTGGTCTGACTGAGTG